TCACATTGGGTGCCAAATTTGTAGCACAAATGTAGTTAGAAATCTTTAATCTTAGAACTTTTGTTTTCTAAAAATGTTATAAAGTTTCTACTCTGACATTATTAAAAAAAAAAAAAAAAAAATTTAAAAAAAAAAAATATTTTTATCTGATTATTCTGAATTTATAATCTCGATCTAATTATATACTTCAACTAGAACCCAAACTAAAGATGTTCTCAAGCACTTACCTCAATGAATTTCATAAAGAATCTGATCAGCCCAGTTTGGTCAATCAGATTCTTCATTAAGTTCATTGAGATAGATACTTGTGAATGCTCTATATGCTTCACCATTATACAGTTTGAAAGTTATTATTTAGTTTAAAACAGCTCGAGAACTAATTATATACATTCAATTAACTACAGTAGAATTTAATTTGAGATATAAAAAAATAAATATATAAAGAATAAGGATCTTGGCCAAACATATACTTACATAAAAACTTATTTTCATATTATAAACTATCGTGTATAATCCAAGATCTAAAGCCTTTAATTTATTTAAAAAATTTTTGTTACTATTATAATAGAAATTCCAAAAGATTTGGAATTCTTTTTTGAGACCCTAAACCTTACCTCTTCTACAATAGACCTTGATAAAATGGAGCACAATAATGAAAACAAATCAGAATCTATCGAGGAGGATGCTACAAATGAAAAAACTAAAAGGCATCAAATTGCAATTAATGAATTAATCAACAAACTAAAATTATGTTGTTCATATAAAAAGAAGTGTAGTAATAAAATTTTGCCTCATCTATTACAATCTTTAGTATTAGAAAGTATTAAATGAACAAACAACAATGATATTATTCAATAGTAATACTTATGGTCTTCTCTAATAAAGAATCACACAATCAACAATTCCACACTAAATATCAACTGCCGTATTTTGGTGAAGTTTGTAGTTCTTTTTTTCAAATATTCTAAATATATGGTAGAGATATATTTTATTGTTTTCATAGACAGGTTTAAGAAAAGCAATCAATACTTCCCGATCTCATGAAAATATTAGTCATTCACTTGTTAACAAGTTACCTGTTAAGGCAGTTGGTGAAGTAAAATTTTTATTAAATTGGTTGGAAAACAACATGGTGAAGTATTAGCAGTTTGGAAGTATATACGAAAAAAGGTGGATAAACAATTTACTATACAATATAAAAACATGATTTTGTTTTTCTTCTATCTCACTATTTGAATAATCACCTTTTTGCTTTTTATAACTTAATTAATTTGAATAAATCCATAAGTCATTGGAGCTTTCGAAAAATATAAAAAAAAGATAATGAACTTGGCCAAATTATTATTAAAAAACCGTCTAAAGATGTGTATGATGAATGCACCTTTTTTAAACATGCATTAAAAGCAAGAAGTAATATAAATAAAGATCTTAATGAACAGTTTACCTCACATATACAAGATTATCATACTATGAGAGAGACCTATAAAAATGATATTCAAGTGGCAAGAAAGAGTGATCGGTCTTCACTTCATGTTTTTTCTTTCGACCTTGCTCAAAATGTGGAGCTACCTCATGATCTACAACAACCAGAAAGGTAGTACTATTCGTCATTGTTAAAAGTACACCAATTTGGGTTAGTAGATAAATGTATTGACTGTCATTGGCATACTCTTTACACTGAAGGAAAGGCATTAAAAGGGGCAAACGAAGTTACATCAATCTTGCATCTATTTCTTACTTCTGCTACAAGTAAGTAGAGTTGGGCAATTTAATTGATTTAACCTTTAAAATATATTTAAAATATGACTTAACTGTATAAATATAGCAAATGAAATTAGACTATGAGCAGATAATTGTGGTGGACAAAATAAAAATTCATGCTTTTTATGGTATCTTCATTGAGCTTGCCATATTAGAATGTTCCAAAAGATTGAATACTATTTTTAGATTAAGGGCCATACTTGAAATTTTGTTAATCGTAGATTTGGTAATACCAAAAGGGAGTATACCATATCAGAAGTCTGGTGTGTTAACTAGTTAGTCGATGTAATAAGTAGGAATGCGAACAATAATATTTCTGTAAACTTGGAGGATCAAATAGGACCATTTCGTGATTGGACTTTAGCGCTTAGCTCATTATACCATAAACTTCTAGCGATTCAAAAATATCATTTTTTCTAGTTTAGCTTTAGAGAACCTGATATAATGAGAGCTAAAATCAAGACCACTGATATTTGGGATAAATTCCAACTACTGAAACAAAATACCTATATCGAAAGTTTAAATCCTCAAGAACTTTTGCTAAAAGGTCTTTCTGAAGAAAAACAGATAGACCTATGGAATAACATTCGCCCATATTGTCTAATAGCTTTCTGTAACAAATTTTGCTCAAAGCCAGATAATAACATGGTAAAGAGAGTTAGTAACCTAAAAAGGGCTTGTGAAAAAAAGGCACAACAAAAACGAAAGATTAA